CCCCCCCCCCCCCAAAATTTCACAGTTGCAGGAAAAGTTTGAAAAGTCCCTTGAGTATAGCAAGAACGATGGCTACAGTGGAATATAATTCGAAATGTTAGCTGTAAGAAGCATAAGCATACTCTGCTGATTCCTCCCCATCTCCTAGGCTATCTTCCTAGTTATCCAGTTGGGTGATACATTATGAATGTTCCACATTACTTTGAGTCTTTCTTTTTTGGAGTCATGTAGGCAAATGGTTCATGCACGGAGGGACAGTGTCCCTGAGGAATGAAAAAAACCTGGAAAAAAAAAATCAGAGCTAAATTGTTTTCTGCGATCTTAATTCTGGTTCTTGTTAAACAAATGTAGAGTTCCATCCTTGTAGCAAATCACAAGAATGAATATGTTGTATAGAGTGAAATTGTTTGTTAACAAAAGATACCATCTTCGTCAGTCAGTGAAAATATATATTGAAAGAATATAAGTGCATAATGGAAGTATACAATGGAAAATCTTTTTTTTGTTCCCTTAAAAAAAAAAATCTGTGACTTGAAATTTGCATTCGGCTGACTACTCCCTTCCTTTAGAAGCACTGTGGATCATTATTGAAAAGGAAATAGTGCCCTGAGAAATTTGGCTTTGTGGGATTTTTATCTGCCTGAGAAACTTCTCGAGAAGTGCTTTTTATGGGCTTAGTGTTTGCCTCTGGAAGCCAAAGAAGCTGAGAGTACTAGTGCTAGAGTATGGTGAGAGGCATAGGAGAAGGATCCTGTGTATGGGGGGCTCTCTGGCTCAAAATACTTGTACTAAACTGCTTTGCAAGCTTCATCTGACCTCTCAGTAATGTACTTGGGAGTGTGTAAAGGGCCGTTTAGGCACATCGTATGAAACTGGCATGTTTCAATGCGTGTGATTAACAGTCTGAAGAGCGATTGTTGATGGAAGAACCATCTCCAGATGTACATTGTTTCAGAACTCGGTGGCTGATACCTCCTGGAAATTTGGCAATATGGGACTGAAACAATTGTTTTCCTTCCCTTGTTTATTACTAAGGATTTTTTTGAATGAGCGACACTTACTGTGATTGCAACGGAAGGGTGGAACGGCTTTGTCTTGCTTAGCACAAAAATAACTCAAGTTCTTAATAATGTGCCTGGCCCAAGTATTACTCCTATTGATGGATTAAAAATACCTTTACATATAACTATTGCTGTGGTACAGACTTGATTTGTTT